TACGGTAAAGATGACGAGACGTCAGCAACACCCACCGTGTTCGCTGTGATCACTCAGGCGAGAGACGTCGCTCTATATTTACCTGGATAATCTATATGCTGGGAGATGATATTTCTTGCGAAATATAGATTACAAACACATAACATTAATATAGAGACAGGTATATATAATGCAGTGCCTCGTTACCAGAGATTGTGTACTTTATGTGATCTNCAAACTAGTTAGAAGCCAACAGAGTAGAACGTAGTAAACATGCATGATATATGAACTGACCCAGGTTAGTAAATTCTTTGATATTACCGGTTGATGATAATTTGATTAATCTATAGACAGAGGGATAAGTACGATAATATAATTTAATATATTTACTTCGTTGTTCGCTGAAGGAGGGGTATTTTAGAATGAAGTGGAATTCGTCTTCTATATCATTGTTAAAGAAAGGACACAATTTTAAATTATGAGGAATTTTTCTATGCCTTCCAGTTGCTATTAAAAGATTGTGTGAAGACAGTCTTATTTTGACAACTGCTTTTTTGTACTTTACAGGAATAGGTTTATTTAAGTAAGGTTGAAGGCAGGCATGATCAATAATATGTTGATACACCCTGCACTAATGTGTATTGAAGCTACCATGTGCTTGCCAGTACTCCGACATACCAGTAGAACAGAGTTCTTGTTTAACAGCACCCACCATATTTTTACAATGTGGGTTCGATTCACACTCATTGTATATATCTTGATAACATGCATTTAAAATACAGTTGCTAGAAGTCAATAGTTTGAACCAGTATTTCAAAATTCTAATTTTCCTCGAAATGATAAGAGGATATCTACCCAGTTCGAAATAGATCAAAGCGTTTGGTGTAAATTTTCGAACTCCTAAATATTCTTACAAACGTCTAGATGTAGTTGTTCGATAGCAGGCGCTTTGTGTAAACTCCACACCTCGCAAGCATAGTTGGCTACACTGCCGACATGTGTCAAAAAGTGACAACAGTGTACAGAAATTTGACAACATAAATTTACATGATCTTTTAAGAGAAAACTGAGCTTTCCTTCCCTGTGACGCTAATTGTTTCTGCGTTAAATTAAATTTACCATTATAATTGAGTTTAACCCACAGGAAAAAGAATTTACAGACTCAAGTGTAACACCATCATACTGCCATGTTTCATTTGCATGTAATACAGCCGATTTTCTGAAAACTACAATTTTTGTTTTTTTCAACGTTAACTGTTAGAGACCACCTCCTATAGTATATAATAACAATTCATCTAACATGTGTTGTAGGCCGTCAACACTTTCAGAGGAAAGCACCATATCGTCGGCGTACATTAGTAAGAATAACGACAACTCTTGTAGCTCTAAAGGGTGAACACCATTGTTGAGGAATTCTATCTCACAGTCGTTAACAAACATACTAAATAAAATCGGAGAGACAATTTCCCCTTGTAAGACCACGGTTTTGTTATCGAAAAATTCTGATAACTTCCTATCTACGGTTATACTTGATTTTATTTTACTATACAAAGATTTGATCACATTATATAAAGTAATCGTGCTACATTTACCTTCCTGTTGAGGTTGTATGCTAGAAATTTGGTTAGCTTTAGGCTTTATTTGTATTATTTCATAAACAAATAAATTATGCTTCATAAGAGTCCGCTAAGTTACCTTAGGAAAAGCTTCAAGTTTTCCCCAACCTATGACTATTTCATGAATTTGTAATTATTATGTATGGAATTGAATCTATTGCATATGTTCTCCGCCATGGTACAAGATATATTTCTGTACGCCTATATGCAATGTGCATTTGGTAATAAATTGAATTGAATTGAATAAGCTATTGTCAGAGGCGTTTCTTTTGCTAATGGTTTCTCAATTTCATTACTATAAAAGCAAAAACATACAAACAGAAGTAAGAGAGATATAAGAGAGATATATATTTTACATATCTAACAGTAAAATGGTATTTGTTAACTTAGCTGAAATGCATTCCTCATTTTCTTTCTTAGGGTGTCATAGATTACCGCTTCGTATGAGCACAGACTTAAATAGCAATCTAATTTCATAAGTATACAAAATGTCGGCTTTATATCAATCTTATATAATTCATTACGTTCTCGTTTTAATAAAAACACCACAGCGAAGGTTTGGCACCAGCAAAGTAATCATACAAGTTATTCCACGGAATTAGATTATATTCACACAAATTATTTGTTTATAACTTGATATATTTTACTCGCGGTAAAATGACCAACAAAAAGAAATACGTATTATTAATACCAGAAGTATCAGGAAATTCAAGAAATATATCCAAAGATCTATATTTTGCATAAAGGGTATAATAATAACGTATATGTTACTTACTACACCCTCTCCCTGAAATAAATACGTAGAATTATTTGTCATTGACACGTAATTGAAAAGTATCATCATCTCTTGTTAAGAAGTTATACAGAAAACTTGTTTATAAAAAAAAAAAAAAAAAACACATTCTTAAACAACTCAAAAAGAACATGTGCATTTGTATCTCAATGATCTAAACTGTATGAAATAAAATAAAGAAAAACTCTTCAAACGCTCGCACTGTTTACTAAGAAAATCTTTTATCTAATATAACCAAAACATGGAGTCGTATGAATAGTTACTCGCACAAAAGTATCAGTCATTTTGAGTTAAATCATCTCTTAAATGTGCTTCTTGCCATGGAGAATAAATACGTATCTTTCATTTCTTTAATTTCATTGATTCAGGTTGAATTAGATCCAAAAACTTTTACTCGTAGTTCCAGTAGTATACTAAAGGGCGTAAACGATGTGTTCGGTAAATTAAACAGATTAGTACCTGTCAATCACGCTCGGTAGAGAGGTCGGTAGAGAGGTCGGTAGAGAGGAGGATCCTAATCGTGCATTTGATTGGTTGGTGTACTTCACGATACTCAACTCCAGCGCGAACTGGCATCCCTTTTAGGGACCGTAATTCTCGTCACACTCACATGTTTGTGTCCGCCTGATTCGATAAGAAGACAATGTTAAGATAAACGTAATCTAACAATAGTTTTTTTATATAATTAGCAGGAATTGGTTTTGAACGATAAGTTTGCAATGCTAAGTGATCTACAACATGCCTCTCTCTCAATCTCCCTTCGAAATTAAAACAAATCAGGTCTAAAATACGCCTTCCCAAATATCCCCGAACGAACACCTTCCTGTGTATTTTTTTTCGTTCAGAATCATAACATTTATAAGAGTTGCCTCCCCTACGCCGGTTGAAAGTAGTTGACCTTTCGATTGACATGACGCCAGGTACTATTTGAAAGCGTCTCGGCGACTCATATGGCACGATTTGGGCAGACGACCCAAGTAGAAATTGACGAAAAAAGGAAGAAGATTTACGCTGAGANCACCCCCATCTATAAGTTGGAAAAACTTACTGACTAATCCTACTGTTATATTATATGTCAATAAAATTGTTTAAACTAACACAGCGTCCAGGGTTGGAATATGAAAACATAAAAGTTCCACAGCATATGGTTCTGTATAGGTATAAGTTGTTCAAGGTATTGTCATCCAGGTAAATGTGCTCCCAGTTCGCACCAGTTTATTTTCAGGCACGCTCCCCGGGGACATGATCTCCATTTTTAGAACTTCACTATAAAGCTATATGCAATTTAATTTTGCCTAACAATAAATTATTATAGAAATAAAGTTTGATATTGTATATAAAAATGATCGTGACTACGCATTTACAACAAGAAACAAAACTACAGTTAGCTTATGTTAAGATACAAGGTGGTAGATTCTGCTGGTGGATTTTTAGCCCCCATGGTTTTCGGTAACCTTGATGGCCACAGTCTCTTTTGAATAGTGGCATGGCTAACACTATGCACACTTTGCTAATTATTTCGCCTGAAATTAGCCAGCACCCATCTTTTATAATTAATATGTTAAGGGGCTCTAGCCCCCTCCCTCCTCTGTTTCAAGAGTAGTTTATAACAATTTATCGCACCTCGGACAAAATTGTATCATCTGATTGGTTAAAATCGGGTCACGTGGCGACGTACAGAATCGTCATGAAAAGGTTAAAAACGTTTAATAACATTTATAAGAGTTGCCTCTCCTATGCCAGTTGAAAGTAGTTGACCTCTCGATTGACATAACGCCAGGTACTATTTGAAAGCGTCTCGGCGACTCAGCTTGTTGACAAATATGGCACGATTTGGGCAGACGACCCGAGTTGAAATTGACGAAAAAAGGAAGAAGATTCACGCAGAAAAGACGTTGAAATATAACAATCAATCTGCAAAGTTCTTAAATATGTAGTCGAAAAGGTACAGGATGTAGAGTTTGAGAACTTCAGTACCAATAGATTAGATGAAGCCCTTTCGCATTTCTACCTGGACGCTAGGAAGACTGATGGAACATTGTATAAGGCCTCTACTCTAGAGGGTTTGCGCCGTGGACTGAATCGATATCTGACAGGACCCCCTCATAATTAGGGTTTTTACATTATTAAAGATGCCGATTTCCGGTTCTCAAACCTGAGTTTTGATGCAGCTCGTGCAGAACTGAAGCAGGTCGGGAAAGGCAAGGTGGATCATTACCCATTTATTACAGTCAGACAAGCAGACATTGTATTCTTCTGTTTATCTGTCGCCCAAAACCCCTACAGGACTGTAAGTTTGTCAACGTGGTGCAGAAAATATGCATACCATGAAAAACCATAGTTGGTCAGTAACAAACCATATAACTAATATTGGGTTTCCAACCTTTTTGCCCCTGGAATCATCCATGATAAGTTTTTTAAGGGCGAAAAGCCGTATAAAGCTGTGTAATTCATTTTTGTCATACTTTATCTATTACCAAATTGTAGAGATGCAGTCACTTGAGTATGTGTGTCTCTAATCTTTTTAACTACTACATGCATGATAAGATATTAATATACTTATATTTCGGCGTGCAGTGCAGTAGATAACAGACACACTCTTAAGTAGCCGAACGCCGACATCCGGATCTTCTTGTTCTTTTCAGCGCACTACAGCTGTGGTGAAGACGTGCACCTCTATGGAATAGGATCATTTGATTTTCTCTAGTACAGTACGTATCATCACTTGATTTAGATGCACTCCGTGTACGGGTACTAGAAACACATTTTTTTTTGCGGTTTTGTTGTTTCTTAAAATTTATATTATTAAGAACGTCTTATCCGAATTTCATTCATTTATATAACAAAAAACACCATTTTATGCTTTCACATTATCTATGTTTGTATTTCAAAGGCAACAGTATAAATAAAACAATAATTATTCAATATACAAATTTAAATTATTTAGAACGTATTTTCCAAATTTCATTCATTTGTATCAGAAAAAACATTTTCTGCTATCCACCTTGTCTATCTTTGTATTTCAAAGGCAACAGTATAAATAAAAAATTGTAGTGTTCCAAGATGCTGTTCCTGCTGTTTATTTTTAAAATCTATTTTGTCATGTTCAAGGCGGCCATTTTGAATAACAACGGTGGACGTTTTCTGTAGGCCTTTACATTTAAAAATGTTTCGAAGGTCCAACAGTATCTGTATACCATTCATTTATTAAAGGAAATTAACGAATTCTGCTGTCGGTGTCTGCTGTTTAGATTATTTATTACTACTCTCTGTATAAAACCTAAAGAAGAAATATTTTTTGAGCTGTCTCCATATCTGAAACATGATTGGGCCAAAAATATTTGCGTACCAAATTTCATTTCTTTTATCTATATCACGAAACAACAAACATTCCACATTAAGGGTGTATGTTTTAAATGTACAAGTCGGCCATCCTGATTAAAAAATGGAAGTAGGAAATCTCTGAGATGCCTCAATAATAAGGACTGTCCAAAATATGTGCATGCTTTATTTCACGCTTTGATGTCTAAAGTGCATAACGAACAACGCTGCTGCACTGAAAACTACAGTGTGTATCGGGACAACGATACGACGCTTAAATACTGTTATACAGTGGCGGCTATGAAGCGTTATCTCTATCTGCAATATCAGTGCGAATTTCTCAATAAGGATATTGTTATCGCATTATGGTACTTTCGAATGTCTCGAGAAGATTTATTGCCTTTGAATTTAAAGGTTATCAGTATAACTGAGGTATGATGTCACACTGGGGTCGCGCGTATCTCAGGGTCCTAAGACTTGTATTCTGTATATGAATAAAGTTCTGGTTTAGAGACTATATGTAATTTGTACCAGACATACCATTACATTTAGCTAAATGTTTTACAAACCTCTGATTCTCTTCATTCACTTCACGCGGGTTTTGACTACCATGAACGCTGGTAGACGACACTGGTATTGGTATCCGTATGTTGTATACGTTTACTTCCGGTAAGTCTGTCGCATTATAAAACTTTAAGGTTTTATGTATTTTCAAAATGTTACATCTTTTTTTTTAACTAATGTTGAACATAAGACAACGATTTCAAGAGACAATAGAACCCATCAAATATATATATTACATATTATATATTCAGAGATAATTCGATGAATTCTCAAACAAATATGCTGTCAATTTTTCCAAGCCAACATTCAAAATGTTTTATAATGTTACATAGTCTTACAGTTGTATTTGTCAATACTGGACGACAGGACAGGTAATGTTCGTGAAACAAGTCCTTATCAGCGATAAAGCGACTATAACAAGTCGTCACCATGAATCTTATCGATTTAATTGAACTCTGGTTCAAACTCGTATTTCACTTCCTACACGTTTGGTATTGGTCCCTCGTCACCACGCGGAAGATTTTAGATCAGGGACTTTTTTAAGTGATACCAGCGGGACTTGGCATGTTGTCAAGATATTTTTTTATTTCTTTTTTTTTTAGGTTGTGTACACCTACTACGTAACGCTGCCGTTCAAACCATGCACTTGGCTACCAGCCGTCACCATGAAAAGGCTCAAACCCACGCCAGTGTTTGATTCCAAAACGGCGAATATTAAATACACAAATGAGAAGCCAGCATTGCCAGTGAAGAAAGAAACTCCAGATATTAATACAGGAACCAACTTTCTAGATATATTAAATTCACCTGCAAGCCAAGCAGAGGTTACGAAGTCAGACCAACTGCGAAGAGAAACAACACAGCCAAAAACGCTGTCGCCTCCTTCCCTTCTGTCAGCATCAGCACCGCCATTGCCACCTACCTCGCCACTTCCCCCACCACCATCGTTTGCACCTCCGCCACCACCCAGGTTTGAACCCCCGTCACATCCCGCGTCGCTCGTTGAAAAACAAGAGGAGCGGAAAACCGATGTGTTTACAGAACTTGATATCCAACCTCAATTTATGATGGGTTCACGTGACGATGAAACAATGGAGTCTGACATCTCAACAACAGATGACCGACATCCCCTGGCGGAAAGTTCGCCCCAAGAAAGGCGGCGAGGAGGTGGTCACCGACCGGATTTCACTCTGAAAGGAAGTGTGCGATTTCCTGTTCAACCAGAGAACAGAGTATCGAGCATTTATGATGTGAGTATCACTTTTTTAATAAGAAAATTGTTTCAATATTTTTAGAGTAAACTAGTTGTATTAACGTCTCAAGTGATACGTGTACATGTATAACGTTCAAATGCATGAATTCATCTCGACAGGTACACACTGTATGGCATTCTCAGCAACATATCTGACACATATATGACTTAACCAGAACAGGTATGACATTTGATATATACAAGTAGGATTTTATCCAGACAAGAATAACATTCACATGTAGGAATTATCTGGAAAAGTAGCGGCATTTACGATAATTGCATTCACAGGTTTGACCTCCGAAGGTATGGCCCAATATCGATATATAAACGGATTCCACAATAATAATCTAGACAAATATAGAGTGGCGGTAGAGTCTGTACCGCTAGCATAAATCTGAGGTTTTTAAACAGGGATTACCCGATCTAATTGATAACATGCAAAGTATACGTTTGAGATATATGGGGTCTGTGAATATAGACACAAAACCATCATAAACTGTTTTCCAATATTCGTTTGAGTTAATAATATTGTTTTGTTCAAAATGACTCAATACAAGCACTTTGATAGATTCCGTTGTGATATTTCGACCCCAGATTATTCTAGAAACATCTAGTTATAGGTTTTTCTGAAACTCTAACAAATACAACAATAAAACTTAATAGAAAGCTGGGCCCGTATTCAGTAAACATGCTCAAGCATGTTGGTTTTTTTTGTGCTCAAGTCTAATTTTTTGTTCCGTTTATAAATTAATAATGAAATCTGATTTTGGCTTGAGCACAACATATATGCTTGAGCTTGAGGACGGTTTCATGAATACGGCCCGAGTACTCAGTGACTATAGACATGGATTCATAGTATACTTATCATAGGCAAATATATTGAATGTGCATTTGAACACTGGTCTTAACACATTATACTGTATTTGAACATTGATTTATAGCAAACAGCCAGGAAGGATATACAACATAAACATCACGTAACTTGCTTACTTCAAAATACACAATTCACAAATGAAACAAGAAAATACGAAAGTGTGAACAAACCCGTGATTCGAACACCAAATAAGTGCGAAACATTGTGTTTACGGCATTCAAAGCTTATCACAAGACCAATCGGGAACCGTCGGCACTTTCCGTAAACGAGAAAATACGGAAAGTGCCGACGGTTCCTGATTGTTACAGGATCTGGCTCAACAACTGGAGCGTATTTGTGCTGATTAACATTGACGTCAAGTTAGTCGCAGACAACTCGTATTAAGCTGAATATTTCACTTTACTGTGCTGCTTAAACCTTAAATATACACTAATTGGTTAATTATATGGTTTTAATCTACAACTTACAATAGTTATCTTTAGCTTAGCAAGGTTAACTTCTGACACGATAATATACTTGATGGCCGTGTAATAGATCGCTGGAGACATATATAATGTCCTTGAATCGTTAGATGACATCTCATGGCGGTTATCACACCTACAAAAACCTGCCACGTCCGGAATACCAACTTTCACGAGTGTTTGCTGTGTTTTTGCGTATCATCAATTCTTGTTGTTTTAGTCGACAATGAATTTAATCTTGTATATTAACACACTGGTATATTTTATCTAGTTTACTTACTCTATCATGGTTACGTCAATGTTAGTACACACACAGCATGTACCAATACATTGACGTGTTACCATATAGACTGACGATAGCGTAATGGCAATGGGACAATCCTACAGAAAACCAGATATACTTCATACTTAGGTCCGTAGGTACATATAAATGTAATGCTCACGTGCACATCAATACTTGTGTTCTACAGCCGATCAAAAAAAAGATAAGCAGGAAGAAATTGTTGTTTGAAACGGGTGCTCTATTTCAACCTTTTGTCATTGTATTCATTTTAATAGTATCCAGAAATTTAGTAGGTCCATAAAACAGTCCAAACAAATTTATTTTAAACCACACCATGCTCATTTTGTCAATATGTGGGACTAAAAGTTAATTAGAATTTCAAGTAAAGCGTGCCAAAAAAATTTTCAGCTACAGTGTAAATGTAGAAGGTTTCGACCCCTTTTTACCAACTGTATTGTATGTGTACAAGGTTTCGACCCTGTATTACCAGCTATATTGTATATGTTCAAGGTTTCGACCCTGTATTACCAGCTATAGTGTATATGTACAAGCTTTCGACCCTATATTACCGGCTATAGTGTAAATGTACAAGCTTTCGACCCTGTTTTACCAGCTATAGTGTAAATGTAAAGCTTTCGACCCTGTTTTACCAGCTATAGTGTATATGTACAAGCTTTCGACCCTATATTACCGGCTATAGTGTAAATGTACAAGCTTTTGACCCTGTTTTACCAGCTATAGTGTAAATGTAAAGCTTTCGACCCTGCTTTACCAGCTATAGTGTATATGTACAAGGTTTCGACCCTGTATTACCAGCTATAGTGTATATGTACAAGGTTTCGACCCTTTATTACTAGCTATAGTGTAAATGTACAAGCTTTCGGCCCTGTATTACCAGCTATAGTGTATATTTACAAGGTTTCGACCCCATATTACCAGCTATAGTGTATATGTACAAGGTTTCGACCCTGTATTACCAGCTATAGTGTATATGTACAAGGTTTCGACCCTGTATTACCAGCTATAGTGTATATTTACAAGGTTTCGACCCCATATTACCAGCTATAGTGTATATGTACAAGGTTTCGACCCTGTATTACCGGCTATAGTGAATATGTACAAGGTTTCGACCCTCTATTACCAGCTATAGTGTATTTGTACAAGATTTCGACCCTGTATTACCAGCTATAGTGTATATGTACAAGCTTTCGGCCCTGTATTACCGGCTATAGTGTATATGTACAAGGTTTCGACCCTCTATTACTAGCTATAGTGTATTTGTACAAGATTTCGACCCTGTATTACCAGCTATAGTGTATATGTACAAGCTTTCGGCCCTGTATTACCAGCTATAGTGTATATGGACAAGGTTTCGACCCTATATTACCAGCTATAGTGTATATTTACAAGGTTTCGACCCCATATTACCAGCTATAGTGTGTATATGTACAAGGTTTCGACCCTGTATTACCGGCTATAGTGAATATGAACAAGGTTTCGACCCTATATTACCAGCTATATTGTATATGTTCAAGGTTTCGACCCTATATTACCAGCTATATTGTATATGTACAAGGTTTCGACTCTATATTACCGGCTATAGTGTAAATGTACAAGCTTTCGACCCTTTATTACCAGCTATAGTGTATATGTACAAGGTTTCGACCCTATATTACCAGCTATAGTGTGTATGTACAAGGTTTCGACCCTGTATTACAAGCTATAGTGTATATGTACAATGTTTCGACCCTATGTTACCAGCTAAATTGTATATGTTCAAGGTTTCGACCCTATATTACCAGCTATATTGTATATGTACAAGGTTTCGACTTTGTATTACAAGCTATAATGAATATGTACAAGGTTTCGACCCTGTATTACAAGCTATAGTGTAAATGTACAAGTATTCGTCCCTATATTACCAGCTATAGTGTATATGTACGAGGTTTCGGCCCTGTATTACCAGATATAGTGTATATGTACAAGGTTTCGACCCTATATTACCAGCTATAGTGTATATGTACAAGGTTTCGACCCTGTATTACCAGCTATATTGTATATGTTCAAGGTTTCGACCCTATATTACCGGCTATAGTGTATATGTACAAGGTTTCGACCCTGTATTACCAGCTATATTGTATATGTTCAAGGTTTCGACCCTATATTACCAGCTATAGTGTATATTTACAAGGTTTCGACCCCATATTACCAGCTATAGTGTGTATATGTACAAGGTTTCGACCCTGTATTACTAGCTATAGTGTATATGTCCAAGGTTTCGGCCCTGTATTACCAGCTATAGTGTATATGGACAAGGTTTCGACCCTATATTACCAGCTATATTGTATAAGTACAAGGTTTCGACTTTGTATTACAAGCCATAATGAATATGTACAAGGTTTCGACCCTGTATTACAAGCTATAGTGTATATGTACAATGTTTCGACCCTATGTTACCAGCTAAATTGTATATGTTCAAGGTTTCGACCCTATATTACCGGCTATAGTGTATATGTACAAGGTTTCGGCCCTGTATTACCAGCTATAGTGTATATTTACAAGGTTTCGACCCCATATTACCAGCTATAGTGTGTATATGTACAAGGTTTCGACCCTGTATTACCAGCTATAGTGTATATGTACAAGCTTTCGACCCTATATAACCGGCTATAGTGTAAATGTACAAGCTTTCGACCCTATATTACCGGCTATAGTGTAAATGTACAAGCTTTCGACCCTATATTACCGGCTATAGTGTAAATGTACAAGCTTTCGACCCTGTTTTACCAGCTATAGTGTATATGTACAAGCTTTCGGCCCTGTATTACCAGCTATAGTGTATATTTACAAGGTTTCGACCCCATATTACCAGCTATAGTGTGTATATGTACAAGGTTTCGACCCTGTATTACCGGCTATAGTGTAAATGTACAAGATTTCGACCCTATGTTACCAACTATCGTGTATATGTACTGTACAAGGTTTCGACCCAATGCTATGTATATCTGCATGTTGTGTTGAAGATGTGGTAAATTTATTTTGCGTTTATGTGTTGATGCTGATATTTTTGCAACTGTGTGCTGGCACTGTGGTATAACTTGCACTTATGGATTGATAATATGGTATATTACAAGATTACCTATCAGCATTACCGTATGAACGCAATTTGAACAGTGTCATTTTGAAGCTTCTCCAAACGCCTCGAATAACATGAGGTAACCCCTTAGAAACAAAACATTTTTTGACATTAAGCTGTTCCAGGAATCTCGTTTGCACTGATGACACTGACACTTTTATATCGAAAATATCAGGCAATATCCATATATAAGTCAATAATAACTATAAAAAGATAGAACTAAAAATAGGAATTGAACGATTTT